GGTGATCGCACAAATAATCCCCCGATATGACAGATAATTGGTGACTCCCTCTCGCCTTGTATTCTCTCTCGCTTATCATTTTCACATGAATTATGGACTTCAGGATAACATATGATATCAAACAAAGAGATTTAAGGTATATATCAATAGTCATTATTGTGCAGACACATCTATTCGTGTCTCTTGTGTTCATCGAATTTCAGAAATATGCTTTAAATACTTTTTAATTGTATAATTTCCGTTACCTTCAGACTGAAATTCTCTAATTGTGATTATTAAATCGAGACAATGTGTATGTAAATACAATTTCCGGTTACCTAGACAATGGCCTATTTCCGCTTACCTAGACAATGGCTTATAGACAGGGCCTGGCTGGAGTCATTGCAGCCCTGTTGATTATTCGCTGTATATAACTTTCGAAATGTTTTCTTCCTAGTGTGATCAGATTTACAATATCTATGATTCACACAGCGACATGTTTTGGCACAAAGAATACCCACGGTCACACAGTGCTACAAAGAATGCCCATGATTCTCACATTTATATGTCTTGTCACAAAGAATACCCATGATTCTCGCGGTGATACAGTTATACTTGCTACCACAAAGAATACGAATGATTCTCACAATTATATGTTGTTCCACAAAAACTATCTATTATTCTCACAGTTATATGTTCTGCCACAAAGACTATCGATTATTCTCACAGTTATATGTTCTGCCACAAAGACTATCTATTATTCTCACAGTTATATGTCCTGCCACAAAGACTATCTATTATTCTCACAGTTATATGTTCTGCCACAAAGACTATCTATTATTCTCACAGTTATATGTTCTGCCACAAAGACTATCTATTATTCTCGCAGTTATGTGTTCTGCCACAAAGACTATCTATTATTCTCGCAGTTATATGTCCTGCCACAAAGATTATCTATTATTCTCACAGTTATATGTTCTGCCACAAAGACTATCTATTATTCTCACAGTTATATGTTCTGCCACAAAGACTATCTATTATTCTCACAGGTATATGTTCTGCCACAAAGACTATCTATTATTCTCACAGTTATGTGTTCTGCCACAAAGACTATCTATTATTCTCACAGTTATATGTTCTGCCACAAAGACTATCTATTATTCTCACAGTTATATGTTCTGCCACAAAGACTATCTATTATTCTCACAGTTATATGTTCTGCCACAAAGACTATCTATTATTCTCACAGTAATATTCAAAGTTATATGTTCTGCCACAAAGGCTATCTATTATTCTCATAGTTAAATGTTCTGTCACAAAGTATACCCTTTCTTCACACACCGATATGTCTCCCTCACAAAATATTCATTCTGTACATGATTCCCTCATCCATAATTCACACCTCGACATGTCGCCCTTTCAGAACGCCCACGTTTCCACAGAATATAGTCCCTCATAGAATACCTATGATTAACGCAGCAATTTGTCGCCCGTCACAGAAAGCCCGTGTCGCGGCTTCCTCATCTCCAAGTATCCGGCGATCCAGTACGTTTGGGCTTTGGCCGTTGATGTTCAGACCAGGCGTCTTTCAACTGATACTAGCCCTCTCATGCATGCGTACACACCTCTTAGTGTGAAACGTATCTAGTGTAGACCAATTGACTAATGTGTGATCCTGAAACACCATATAACAAGTAACAATCCTAGTGATGATAATGGCAATGTGTCCAGTACTGACATACATAAAGAATGAGTACTTTCTTTCATCTCTAATATACATAATATACATGCATTTCATACTTACGCCTATGTTCGTGTTAATCAAATAATTAAAATGCATTCACACACAGGACATATTTAATGTACTAGTTTTATAATACGATAGTGAAACCGCAAAAGTTGACAGTTGATAATTAAAAACATACTATTTGTACTGCAGAGTTGTTAATGCGGTTAATAAACCAGAGTGTCACCAGTTTACTGTTAAATGGAACTGACTACATACTAGAAATACCAGATACTTCCAACATTAACAGAGGAGGCTCCGAGTTGCCCAATAGACGGATCCATGCATTACCCCTTTGAGACATAAGAATGTGACTGAAAGTTTTGAGCCATCAGGATCTCCTGAGACAAACTATTAACGACGTCACATAATATCATTTGATGAAAAGAATTTTAATGCCCTCGACTAGCAAGGAATAACAATGGGCGTTTTCAAGACAACAATTTCCCGAACAATCGAGCCAGTTGATTAGGGTTACCTTATTGGCTTCGGTCGGTTCCGTATGATATTATCGGAATTTCCTCAGCACACTAAACGACTGTTGTTTTTTTATGTCACAGATTGTCGGAGAAAATAATAGTGAAGGCCACAATTACTGATTTAGGTTATGCCAGTTAAATCCAGACACGTTCATCTGACTAGACATATCCGCACATTTACAATAAGTTGGTTGTGATTGTCTATATAAATATTGCACACTAATTCCATGTTACATGCCCATTGAATATCTACCTGAATATTCATTGTTATCAAATAACTGGGAGTATATAACAGTGTACTATCGGATCTAGCAATATCCCTTTGTGTTTAGTAGCAATACTTTGCACGTGTCCAAAATCATTCTCACCTGATGAATATATCTTTAGTCTCTTCAGTGTAAAACAAAATAAATATTTTATATGTTTAAGATGATCTCAATGAACTCATCCATTACATATGCTGTGGATTTACCGGACATATTTATAATAGTGTGTTGTCCCTGTTGTAAACAAATGCTCCGTGCGTCAGTAATTTTTTTTTTTATATAGAAATGTTTTGAGGCAATAATCTTAAGGTGTATGAAACATTATCTCGTATTCCGCCCCAAAACATCCGTGTGTGCTCTCAAAACAATAGGAATTCGTACACACCTTCCCAAAACACAGATCATCACTGTTTTCTATGCTTATTTTACATTGGACTTAATTTACTGCACTAAAATGTGTAATGTTAACTTAACAATAACTATTGTCTTAAAAAGTCGTTTTACGAATAGAAACAAAATTGAAACAATTAAAAACGAATCATGGACTTATTGTTTAAGCTCAGGTTAGTAATGAATTACAACTAAGAAAACATAAAATACTTGAGTATATTTTGTACAGCGCTATTTTACAGAAGAGGAAAAGTGATGGCTTGTCTCAACACACTCCCAGGATATAAATATATATTGCTTCCTACATAAATGCCGACTACAGTTAATAAACAGAAAGTAAACAAGACTTCCTGAATACTCATATGTAAAACGTCTATTTTATATAAGATTTTCGAAGTGAGACGAAATAACATCTGTATGTATACAATGACAATAAGTAAATTATTAGAGTCCAAGCAACATGTCCTGCACGTTTCCACTTCTTGATATTTTCCCACGTCGACACATATAGTTTTGTCGCTTTTCACTTCGTGTTTACGGTTCATTACGGTTACATCTCATAAATTCCCCACTTTCAGACAAATATGTTTGAGTTGGGGCAATGTTCAGTCTGAAAACGTGCAACCCTGCAATTTGTGCGTGTACACGAGACTAGTTTCCGCGTGCAATATAACTACATGTGGTGGCCATCCACACAACAGAAACGTTTCGCTTGGATAGCTATATGAATGTAGGCTTAATTATTGTGTTTCTATAATTACTAGCATATGCTGCTGCTGTGTTCAGACTTTCTGGACAAATGAACGTCTGATCAAAGTGAGTGATGGTACGGTTTAGTCACCGATACAGGCGGGCCTGTAATCAACGCCATGTAACTGAGAACGCAGAGTATATTTTATACATTTCGTATCACGTAATTGTACTGCTTACTTGGTTTCACCTAATTATTTGTCATATTCCATAAATGTGACAGCATTCTGAAAGTCGATGGGTGGCTGTTCCGGGTGGCAGCGAATGTGACAATTAATTTGTATGGAGACTTTCAGTTTTTACCTTTTGTCATGGTTTGGGACGTTATTAAATCTCAAAAATGGAAATAGCATATTCTTTTTATATTGATAAACCTTTGTACTGTTTGACACCTACTGAGCTCATCCTCACTTCCGTAAACTGTCCACATTTCAATGATAGATGTTTGAAAATTTTTGACAATGGTTTCCGTGATTCAGTTATTTGTGTCGCATTGCTCGCGTAAATCTGTATATATTATCCAATATGTTGTAAGTGATAATACCAAGTTACAATCTGATCGGTGACATATACTACCCACCGGACTGCAATATTACTACTCATACGCCAAATGAAACTGATACAGATGAGGAGAGTCATTTGTGGGATAATGAGAACTAGGAGGTGTCAATCAAGCACTTGACCAGCTGTGATCGCCTTTCAAACATGTCTCAGGTGACAGTTAACACACCAGAAGACATTTCTCCTATTCAGACACCCTTCTTCTGGTGTATCTGGTGGTAACTAGCTCGCTACAGAAGGGGGTAGGTCGTCAGGTACACCAGTATATTGGAGATCAACGGTGTATGTTCTACAAAATAGAACTCATCTGTGGTATTGTGCGTTTAATATATTTATAAACATACATACGTACGTACTCTAAAGAATGTGTAAGTTACAAGCTACGAATTTTAGTAGCATTGTATTTATTGTGCTTAAAACGTCCCCATGCTTTCACTGTCATGGTTCACGGCAAAACTATATTATATTGCAGAGCACACGGGCCTCATTTCTTAAATATAACGTTGGGAACAGCTTTTACCATACTCTGACTCTGAGCAAATCTATAAAAAAATGTCTCACATGTATGAACAATGTATGTTATCACCAGTTATTCAATATTGGTGTGTGTGTGTCGCGCGCGCGTGTGTGTGTGTGTGTGTGTGTGTGTGTGTGTGTGTGTGTGTGTGTGTGTGTGTGTGTGTGTGTGTGTGTGTGTGTGTGTGTGTGTGTGTGTGTGTGTGTGTGTGTGTGTGTGTGTTTTGACTTACCTTACTGCTAATAGTCCTTCAATTACATTCGGGTACTTACCGCCCTGGATCTGGCTGCGCTGAGACAGAACGTGCACACTGGTTTTGGCATAGGGTCCATGCTTCCCCGCAACATGGCTTGGTGTTTTACACACGGCTGGTCAAGGCAATCAGTCCCAACCATAAGGACCGTATTTAGGTGAGCTATGTAACTCGCTGCTAGTCTTAGGGTTTCAATTTTGGAAAGTTTTCTATCAGCTGGTTCCGTTGGAATCAGAGTTCTTAGTGTGATAAAAGCGCTATTTACACTATGTGTCCTGTCTCGCTCTCTTGCATTTGCGGCGAACCTTTGAGGGGGGAGACCATTATCAATTTCTAAATCCGCAGATGATTGCTTTCTTTTCCTGCTGGAACCATTTTTGCCTTTAGAAGTGTCCTCTGTAGAGGTACCACTTCCATTACTATCGGATAAATTTCCAGACCCTTCTTCAACTTTTGGTTTCTTGCTTTCCGAACTCTTCTTTTTCTCGTCTCCCATGTTTCTTCCGGTAAAACTTCTCTCACAGAAACGTTCCAAAACGTCTACACAATGTATTTACGAAATCGAACCATTCCTTCTCTGTATCAGATGAAAACACAAATGGATACAAATTCCCAAGAATTGTGACTGTGCGTAATGACAGTGTTGGTAGTTCCATACATAAGTATCCGTCTGAGGAAGCGCCCTCTATATGATATTAGTTAAGGGTCATAGGTCAGGGGGAGGGGCTTAAGGGTAATCAATCATTTGAAACGGTGGGTGAAAACGAGAGGGAGGAGCTAAGGTTAATCACTATGGCAGACCCTTTTCTGAGGATTTTAGGGAAAAATCCAAATAATGCTAATACTATCAGGCTCAATTTATTCCCAACAATAAAAGTGTGTTTCTGGTTCTTTCTTTTGGTCTATAAGAATAATCTATGTTTGTGGAGTACTGTAAGAGTCTGTGGCATAGCACCTTCACCCCGTCCTCGCGCTGATCAGTGATGGACTTGCCAGAGGTGTACTCTCATCGACATTCGCTCATCTAACTTTGGGCCCTTATCAGTGTTCTCTCCGTTAGAATACGACGGAAGCACTTTCACAAAGACATTTAAATGCAAGTTTTCGTCTTAATTCCGTGCAGGTGATTTGGTATCTTCTAAAGACAAATGAAAGAGGAAATGTGAAGCGTTCTTTAATCTTTCAGAATAAAGTCATAGCATTTCAGCACATCTATTGCATCTACTTCATGTACTATAGGCATGTAACCGTTCGTATACTTGGATTCTGAGTGCTATAATATTACACCACACTCCTAGAATTTATTTCATTCCAAATGTTCTGAAATTGTATAGGACGTTATTTTATCTTTGATCTGATGAGGTGTTTTTAAGCCATTGGTCTGCTAAGGATAGTTCCAAATGAAAATCGTTGAAGGAGATGAGTGTTGTTTCACATTTGAATTCACTCCCCGTCTACAAACAAACCCAAATCTGTGCTGTGTGATCTCTGTCATGCGCTCAACAAGGAGAGTATCTAATTGATCGCTGTGGGATCCATTCGGTTATAACAGTCAATATGAGTATAGAAGCTAGGTTGTGCTAGAGAGTCATTTAGCGGGAGTAATAAACAGTATCACAGACCTATCGCGCAAAGGTTATCATCTCTTCAAAGTGCAGAATAATAAGGCATTAATTAAAGCAGTATTTAAGGCAACTCGTCGATAACCCCGCGGAGTTGGGAGGTCCGGCTCCGGTGTCTCCACAGCAGCCCGATAAGATACAGGCCAACGATAGAGGTGGAGAATGCCGGACGGGTGACTGAAGAAGGACGTGCGGTAATCAAATAAAGATTAAGATCGTTACAGACAAATTGTTAAATATCACCATATTGAAGCTCAGAAGATCGCCACCTCTCGAAATCTTTTCTCTCGCTGTAAATGATATAATTATTCAGTATTTTACACATACAACACTTCCAACATACTGGGGCAAAGTAATTACGAAGAAGTAGTGTTACAGAGAACTTCCCCAAGTTTATCACCCAAGGTATTGATACTTGCAGTTGTAATATTGTTGTGCTCATTCGAACGGGAAGTCTGTAAAACCTTATATCGGCTGACTGATCCATGAACAGAAGCTGGTACCATTTCCTTCGTTATGTAATTTCATGTTGCGTATGGGTGTAAACTACTGCCCTATGAACATTGGTCTCGGTAAACCGTTTCACTCAGAATGTTCACGATAACAATAGTGCAGATATATTTTCACAGATACCCACGGGAAGTGACCAGGAAGTGGGAAGCTGGTACATTTTATAGAATGATATTTATAAAGATCACGCTCGCATGTCAGGAACTTTGAAGACATCGGATTTGTATAATGTACTGATCAAACGTTTCTTCTCTGCATTTCCCTGGAACAATAGTGGTTTGATACAAAAATGGAGAATAAGGTGTATTGATAACTGGCTTATACTTCCTGAACATAAAAATTGGCTATGGTACAATTATCATTACAATTTACTATACATCCTTGACCATTATTTACATATTAAAGCTGACAGTCATGTGTAACATCTTTCCATTCAAAACGATTGGTACACTTGGAGACCCAATATCAGTGCACTCATTTCAACCCTTTACATCACAACTTCCTTCCTTATCTTTGACTATTTAAAGTGATGTTTTGTAAAGGACTGAAAATGAATATACTCGAAAAACATATAAAAGATTCAAAATATCGAATTCCAAGTATGGTCTGTTTCAGTGACATTTTAGAAGTTAGCAAGAAAACATTAGGGCAAGATACTTCCTAGTTGACAACTTCTTGATTGTGCTATATGGTGCGACGTATAGGTCGTCCGGGCAGCTTGCCTGAAGAACTTACCCAAGTTAATACAATTGTTGGCGTAAACCAAATGGTCTTTGGGGAGAGCAAATTAACCCAATATCTCATTTGATAACTTGATTTTTCGAAAGCACAATGCAGTAACCCCTATCTATAATATTGAATGGGACTAAACATGAGGACCATACAGCAGTATTTACCAGCTCCCCCTAAATAAACTAAACAAACCAAAAAGCGCTGTGTAAACTCCGATGGTTGGAGCAGGGCCAGGGTTGGTCATACTCTTTTCTACAGGAGGATCTATTTTGTTTAACGCTGAACAGAGCCAGAAACAATTACGCACAAATATATGTGACGAGATTTGTCCGAGCGCTACGAAACCTCTCAGATCAGACAGATTCTCTCAGGCAACTATTTTTATCAATTGAAGCTGAAAGTCATGTTGGGATTTTCTTTTATTGAACACTGGCAGATAATATTTTCGCCGAGTGAAATGAATGGAATATATTATTTTGAGTTTATAGTCCCGCATCAGAAAAACCTCAGTTAAGAAAATGCGTAACCTTGAAATACTACCTTAGGCAGCAATCTACTTTGAGCCTTTTCTAAAATGTATATGCAATGCGTGGAAAAGACTGAATCAAGGAAAGTAGTTGATGCTGCGTTGACTATTATCCTCTGTGAGTGGAGAAAGATATCTGACAAAATACATAGGAGCCAGTTATATTTGGGCCCTCACACGCAATACACATGCGTTGTTGTATGCTCTGACATCCACTGAACGCACTTGTGTATATTCTTGTCTTGAAATGGAGGGAAAGAAACACTTGTTTTCCGCATGGACAGTTTAAATTGTCAGTAATTGTAAGCACAACTTGAAAACATGTACCGCTGAGGTCCTAATTAATGACAAGTTGTTGCAATGTGATCAAACGTCTTGCGTACGGGACCGCTACTTAAATAAGAGACCAAACTAGAAACACCCTTAACAGGTGCCCCCTGCTGGCCGTGGCCGCAGCGGGGGCTGACCAGTGCCAACATGTCACTCCCGTGTGTAACACGTGGCTCGGACAAAGACCAGTCTACAACGGATCATTCCAGCACACATCCCGACATACTGCGTTTTCCATCCCCCACCAGGGGATTACCTTTGTAGGGCTTAACTGTTACGTGTGTAACGCCTATTATTGCTGTAGATATTTTGTATGTAGCCGAGGCCTATAGTTCAGCATGTATACAAAGCAACTTACACCAACAAACACTACAATGAATATTCAGAGGACAAATGTTGTATGGACGTTACTTCTAGTTATCAATATCACGATAATAGCTTCTACATAATGGTATCTTCAGTCACTTTATGGAAGAAAGGAATTGTTACTCAAAATAACAAGGTGTTATTATAAGTTTGTAGAATGTTATATTTTTTTCAAGAGGGTCAATCACATAATACATAGGCAAATACTTATTCCGAAATTCATCAATTGAGATTTGTCTTCTCTGACGTTGTTATTACATAATGGAAATGAGTTTACTTTTATTTTCATTGAAATAAGTATATTTGTATTTTTATTGAAATGAGTTTATTTGCATTTTTATTGAATATTTTTCGTGTTGAACAGCTACGAAGCTGTATAGATGTTGATATCAGATAACTTTCACGTGAAATGGTTATCTTAAATTCTGAGAAATGATATAGAAAGTTAGACTGATGTACTTTTAGGTACCATTCTTTATTGGTGTATGCCTTCATATCGAGGTTTGACTATCTCAACATACATATCGCTGCAAAACAAACATGAGAAGACCACACTTAAAAATACAGTATTTCATAACTATGTACGCAGTATCTTGGATGTCTAAAATGATTTGATTAACGAGATACTGCTGGTTCAGTGGAATACAATTATTATAGTAGCAGTACGAGGGTGTGGCATCCGAAATTCAATGCCTATTGTGTCCATTTCCTATCTGATGCTAGGCGTTGTAACTATAGCGTAATCTGGCACAAACTATAAAAATGTGATCACCTCCATTTATGTAAAACTGTGTCCACATCAAATCTTAGCTGTGTTCCCCTCCAGTCATGTATATCTGTGTCCAACTGCAGTCATATATAGGCATGGTGGGCGAGCTGTCTAAGGCCCCAGGCTAGTGATCCAGCAAATTAGGTGCCGGGATCGAGCCCACCTGTGACCGGGTGTAAAAACCTTGGAGCCAACTTTGTGTGCAGACTCTTTCAGTGTTGTCGCAACCCCAAATGTACAGTACACAACCTCGTGCATTTAAAAGAACCCACGAATCCGTTGGTATATGACCAGATGGTGGCCTCATGAATACGTGCAAACACCTAGTTGCAGGTACAGCAACATGCAGTAAACTTGCCCCAGTTCACCCAGCTGTAAAAAGGAGTACAACCCCAGTCATGTATAGCCGTGTCCCCCAACTCTAGTCATGTATAGCCGTGTCCCCCAACTCTAGTCATGTATAGCCGTGTCCCCCAACCCCAGTCATGTATAGCCGTGTCCCCCAACTCCAGTCATGTATAGCCGTGTCCCCCAACACCAGTCATGTATAGCCGTGTCCCCCAACCCCAGTCATGTATAGCCGTGTCCCCCAACCCCAGTCATGTATAGCCGTGTCCCCCAACTCCAGTCATGTATAGCCGTGTCCCCCAACTCTAGTCATGTATAGCCGTGTCCCCCAACTCTAGTCATGTATAGCTGTGTCCCCCAACTCTAGTCATGTATAGCCGTGTCCCCAACTCTAGTCAGGTATAGCCGTGTCCCCAACCCCAGTCATGTATAGCCGTGTCCCCAACTCCAGTCA